CTTGGCAAAATCCCTGTCTGCAACAGCCCACCTGCCCAGGCTGCTCTGGTTTCCAAAACAAAGCGGTTTAGTTATTGTAAATACACAGTTAGGAAGGTGGTGAGCAAACCAAAAAAACCCTTAGCCACAAATCCTTTGTGCCAAGGAAGCTCGAGGCTGCTGCTTCATATTTCTCATGTGCTCCCCACCGCGTGCCCTGTGACTCAGAGGGGCAAAGGCAGGAAATTATTCACAGCCCTACCCAGGCTAAGGACCTTTCACACGCGCACCCCGATCTGCTTGGAGCAACTCCGCAGAAACACAACAGGGCTACCGCAGTGGTCTCCAAATTCCTCTTTGATACCCCTGCACTAAAGATGACAATTAGGCCCCTGGCTAATTTGGATGGGAGCAGGGACCTCATTTCCTCCCTTCCCTGCTGTGCCTGTTAGATGTCCCACACCCCCGGCTACATCCTTGCCGACCGGCCACCACAGCGTCGCCCTCGTGGTGGCGTGCGCGGCTCCACGCGCCGCTCCACATTCAGCAGGCTCAAAGCAGAGTCTCCCCCATTGCAACACGCTGCACCTGTTTTTTTAGCAGGCATTCCTAGGGGACAGGCTTTGCTCCGAGTCCCACGACAGCGGTGAGAACTACAGCTCGCGATGTCTTTGGGAAGCCTTGCGGTACAGAAAGCAGCCTTACCTACACACTGCACCCGCACGGCCCGGCAGGGCTCTCCAGCCCTTGCTGGGACCTGCGAGGACTCGCAGGGCAGCTGGGGGGTCTCCTCGCTCTGTGGATTAAAGCAGCAAGAGGCAGACGGGCTCTAAGCTGTGCTACCAGTACCGAGCCCTCGCCAATCCCAAAGGCATCCGTGGATTTACAGTCCTTCCCTAGCAGGTCCTTACTACTTGAAAGCAGAAGAGTCACCAGGAGCCTATGCTGGGAGCTAATATTTAATTGTGAGACAATTTTGCTTAAAATGGAGTGACTGCTTTCTGGGCTTTGTGCAAGGCTTCCTTTCCCCTTTCCAATGCACACATCTGCGGAATTTGTTTCATCTGTAACCCACAGCAGATTTTTAACTCTTGATGAATTCAAAGTGATTTACTCTCTCCCAGTGCAAAAATGATAACAGGCTGGGGCAAGCGTCATCTCTGCATTTCCCCCAGCATCACAGGCAGGCCTGCAGAGCCCATCCACAACACATCACAGAATGTCTGGTTCATTCCTCATTTTGTGGGTGTAAATCGGCTCAGCCAAAGGAAATGAGCTCTAATTTTAGAGCTAGCGCACCAAGTTTTTGCAAGATCTTTCGAACGTTCTTCTCTTTTAACCCTAAGCAAGCAGCTCCGCTCATGAAACGACATGGAGGCGGCTGGGGTCCAAAGCCCAGAGCAAGAAGAAGACTGAGCTGATGTTTGTTACTAACTGGGCAGGGCTGGCCACGCTCCCCTCACGCTGGATTAGGAAGCTGTGCAAACCCCCAAAAGCAGTCTGCATCCATAAACAATCATGTCAAGGGGTATTTTGAGCTATTATGCAGTTCTGAGAAAGAGGAAAGACTATTTCCACTTTGCATATATTTATATTTGGCCCCTGACATTTCTAAAAATTCTGCCTTCCCCGAAGCAAGCAAGCTTTCCTCCAAAAAGAGACCAAATGCCATTTTTTCCACTGGGCTTCACGGAAATAAATGAGGGTATTCTGTTTGGTGTAGCACCTCCAGTGAACTAAAAATGTCATGCAAGACAAAGCCTTGTGGGAAAGCCAAGATGAGGCAGCGAATTAGAAGTCACAGGCTAACACACTGGAGAAAGTCTTTCCCTCTTCTCCTGACTCTCCCCCAAGTTTTACCTGTATTGGCTTCTCAGGTGCCCATCTGAGCAGCAAGGCATTTTCTGGAATTTTCTGTACA